TTTATTTATAAATTTAATAAATATTCATTATAGAAGATTGAGAATATGGAAAAGCATAATTTTTAAAGTTAAATAAATCATAAGCCTAGCCGTAAATTATCTCAGTTGACATTTTGGTAATTTTTCTGTTTTTCTGTGTGTGGTACATCATTGGGGCCCTGCTAGACATACAGTTCGCATTTTACTTTTTCCATTTCGTTAAATATTCTTTGAGGACATGGTTTTTAAAACTGCAGGAGAGTCCAGCTTAGAACTATGGCATAATTTATTTAACTGTTTTGGGTATTTTTTTTAATTCAAATATCATTAAGTTTTAGAAGATTGTTTAATAAAATTTTACTGATGCTTAGAGTTCTAAAAATTTCATTTTCAACCTCTAATTCCCAGAGTAGACCTGATACAATGTATGCCTCATTTTATACCTTTTTAGATAATGCTATGAAAAAGATGTTAAAATCTGGCGTTCTTGAAGAGTTCTAAAAATTTCATTTTCAACCTCTAATTCCCAGAGTAGACCTGATACAATGTATGCTTCATTTTATACCTTTTTAGATAATGCTATGAAAAAGATGTTAAAATCTGGCGTTCTTGCATTAAGAAAATAGCAGAGCAATTGCTAACATAGCTTCCTGTAAGTGATCCCATTAGACTTGAGAATTTTTTTTAAAGGTTTTTGAGTTATTTTTCATATGATCAGCTAATGAATTCAGCACAACTTCCCCAACCCCAACCTTTTCCTCCTGTTTAGCATTTTCCACTTTTTTTACTCTGTGATGAACAAGCCCTCCCTGGTTAATTATGTATATATTTAGCTACTGCATGTGTTGGGCTTATTATTGTCATCTAATTAGATGTAACTTGAACTGCTTGCTTCTAGAAAAATCATTAAAAATTCTTTCCTAATGACCTAGAGATGACAAAATGTCTGTAAAGTGTGAAGAAGCAGACAAGAACAGGAACATCGCTCTTAAAGAGTGTTAATCCAGATGCTGCAGTCATCTAATTAAACAATATTTTGCTGTCATTAACATTTTCACCAAGGAATTGCAGTTATAATTTCTTTGTCAGCTGTCTCTAGATCACTTTACCTTCAAAACTAAAGTGCCATATAAAAACATTAAATTGGATGGTTTAATTAAAAAGTTTTTTTTTAAATGAAGAAACATATTCAGTGTTTCTGAGATCTCATTTACTGTGCTTCACTTTTATTGTTTGAGTAGATTAGTGTCATAGGCTTGCAATATTTAATATTCATCTTCTAAGATAAATCCTTATAAGCATAGTCTTTATATATTCATATATATACTATAATATATATACTATAAGCATATTATTTATTTATTTATATATATATATATATATATATATATATATATATATATATATTCTTATTAGACT